TTATTTATTTAAGGAAAGTACTGGTAGTAAAATATTTATCATAACCTGACCTATCCGCTACAGCACATTGTATAACAGTGATCTCTCTATGATACTGATTGTTTTCAATGCCATCATATTTGTAATAGGCTATTTTTGTATTGGTGTACCTATCGCCGTTTGCAATAAATAAATAAGTACATAGGCCTACTTAAGTGCCGGTTGTTGGGATCAGTGTGAGGAAGTGTCGTTGGGTGAGACGGAGTGAAATCTCACCTTTTGATGGTCGCCTTGAACATTCATTCTCATTACACAAGTGATTTTCCAAAATCTGCATGACAAGCTTCTTACGATACTCCGATAGCTGCATATTCATTTTTCTTCTTTGGACTTCATTGTGCAGAATATATGAATTTCTGATGGTTATATCCAAGAAGTAGAAAACAAGTTTCTTATACCACTTTATAATTTTTCTTGCTGAACAGTTGAAAGACAGTTGCATATCGCCAATATCAATAGCACACATTTTTTTTTGTAGTCCATCACTGACAAGGGCTCTTAGCTAATTTCCCTATAGGGAAGTAGCTGTTATATATACATGTATATATATATTTGTGTGTGTGTGTGTGTCTGTGAACGCAATAACTTGGACTTTTGTTCGATTTTGATGAAATTGGTTAGAAGGTGTAAGGCGGGATAAACTTGAATGAGGTTTCCCAGTTTATCTCTAGACCTTTTTAATGAGCTTAAAAAAACTAATAATTAAGTATATCAAAGTGTTTTTGTACAGTGATTGGTTACGGAGAAAATTCAAAGTATTGTTCAAAAAACTTGAATGAGTTTGTGAACCAGCATGATAGGACGATGGGAACGGGGTTTTATAGGGTAAAAATTGGGTTTTCTCATTTTTGGCCATCAAAACACAAAAACTTCCCAATTTCTCCCTAAACCATGTTAAATAGCTTAAAAACACATATAATGTAGTATATTAAAATTTTTTGTGTGGTCATTGGTTACGGGAATAATTCAAAAATTTTAAATTTAAAATTACCATGCGCTGGTTTAGAACAAAAGGGTTTAAACTCTTACAAGCCTAACTTTTGAAAAAAGGTTACTGAAGTTGTATGTAATAACACACATGTTTTGTTACCTATCATTTCATGGTGTGTACCGTTGGTAGTTAGTTTAAATTGAAATTAAGAAAAAACAAAATCATATTATTTAACCATTGGCTAGACTAAGATTAAGAAAGAGTGTCCAGCAGTTTAAAAGATTTAGTTTGTAGGGTTGGTAGTGGCGATTGATAATCCATTTCAAGTTTTGTCAGTTAAGTTAACTGGAAATATGGTCTACAAATATGTGGTTGCTGTAGAAATTACAGAAATCAACCACATTGATATTGAGATTGACTTCTTGTTCACCTTCTTATGATTGGTCCAGTAGCTTTTGCACCACATCTAGTTGCTTTGCATGGTATCTGCTAGTGCCAGTTCTGACCATTAAACCAGTGTCTCTGATTAAAGTAAGATCTTTCCACTATTTTATTATTTAGTACAAGATTTGGGAGTAATAAGACCATAATGGATTTTATTTGGAAAGTGTATTTGGTGTAATTTGAGAACCGTAAAAAATATATGTATTTGGCCTACCTTGTCTTTTAATTTATCTCACTTCTACTACCACCTTGAATTAGATTCATCCTAAATTGAAGTATACTACCTAATTGGCTACATGGTAGGGGTATACAAGTGCGCCACTCTGCTCCAGAATCATTTAAAATTAAATGCTGGTATAAGTGAGAAATATGTAGGCCTATGTTAGAAGAATTACAGCAAATAAGTAGAGGCTGTAAAATTTCAACATGTCAAAATACAATTTAAATTATCTAAACAAAGAAGAACTTCTGTACGAGATAAGAATAAGAGGGGAAGAAACGAGTGATAGTGATGTAGACTCTTTAAGAAAAACTTTAAGATATTGTATTAACCAGAATACCGATTTAACAAATTTAAAAGGTTCATACACTTTATCTGGGGAAATAACTATAATTGGGGAAAAGTGTGAACAAATTGATTCTCTAATTGAACAGTGTAGGGAAAATGTGACTAAACTCAAAATAGCTAAAATCAAGGCAAAACTAGTGCATGTACAAAACCGGACTACTAATCTATTACAATGTAAGCTGGAACCAGATAAGAAAGTTAGTTTATACCGATTTAACAAATTTAAAAGGTTCATACACTTTATCTGGGGAAATAACTATAATTGGGGAAAAGTGTGAACAAATTGATTCTCTAATTGAACAGTGTAGGGAAAATGTGACTAAACTCAAAATAGCTAAAATCAAGGCAAAACTAGTGCATGTACAAAACCGGACTACTAATCTATTACAATGTAAGCTGGAACCAGATAAGAAAGTTAGTTTAGACAAATTAAATCAGCAAATCCTAAATAGTTTTGAGCAATTTAAAACAATGCATACCTTCTCAGACCAGGAGATGGGGGATTTTGAAGAGGAGCTGAATAACTCTATAGTTGAGAATGAAATAATTGGGGAAAAATTAAATCAGTCTAAATCGGTAGTTCCACCAACTGAAAACTTCACTTCATCTACACCTCAAAAAGTAGAGATTGATTGTTTTCAACAAAATGTTCCGGGTCAAGTCATAAATAATCAACCAAACTCATGTACAGTTGTAAATAGTAGCCTAAGTCCTAGTAGCCTTTTTACAAAGTTGTCAAACCCATTGGAAATTTATTTAAAAAATTTTCCTGTGTGTAATGGTTTAGAAACAAACACATTGTTGCAGTTTTTGAGAAACCTAGTTACTGTCCGAAATGAAACTTCTTTATCTGAGCAAGATTTGTATGAGATTCTACCAATTTATTCTACAGCACCATTAGTGAATAAAATATTAGAATTCAAGAAGGAATCAAAATCAATTGATTTGTTGCATGCTAATATAATCACCACATTTTTGCCAATCACCTTAAGGGAAAAGCTGAAACAAGATTTAATATTTCGACCTCAAAAACACCTTGAACCTTTGTCTATATATGTGCATGAAATAAAAATAAACCTCCAGGTATTAAAGTGTGATTTAACTGAGAGTCAACTTGTTAGTTTTATTAAGAATGGAATACATCCTGATTTGCGCAACAAACTAATATTTGAGAAGAACCCTGCAACATTTTTAGACTTAGATCATCTTTGTATAAGTTTAAATAATGTAACATACAATGATTACCTCAGAAATCAAGGTTTTCCAGTTAGTAATAGTAGTGTTAGCAAGCCTTATCTATCAACTGATGATAAGCCTCGGATGGATAAACCTAACCCAGGAGTTCAACGACCTAAAAGTCACTACTCAAATCGTAACAATGAGAGGCCTGTTTGTTTTAAATGTCAGAGAGTAGGTCATATTGCTCGAAATTGTTACAGACCAGATCCAAAAAACTAGTTAAGCCAGGAAAAACACGTAGCCTAGACTACAAATCTGTTTTTCCGGACGGCAAGAAAGAATTCGGAAATAATAAACCTGTATATAGTTCTCATAGTCCCAATTTTAAGTCTGAACTGAGAAGAGTTGTTAAGGATTTTAATAAAATAAATTCACCTGGATTAAAGAAAGTAAGAGCTAAAACTGTAACACATTTACCCTGTATTTCTGTGGATTTAGGAAACAAATTTAGTGTGGGAGCTTTGTTAGACACTGGAGCTAGTCAAAACTTTATAAGCTTGGATTTATGCAATAGATTATTAGGAAATAAATTAATTATGAGTGAAAATACTTGGCAGGGAACCATAGTAGCTGCAAACAATGAACCTTTGAGCATAAATAAGCAATGTGAAATTTTGATTAAGATAAAATCATTTACCTGTAAACAAACATTTTTAGTGGCTGAGTTAAAATATTTTGACATGATTTTAGGATACCCTTTTATGTGTGCAAGCAAGTTAAACCTAAATATGGATCGACAAATGGGTTATTTTACATTTAAACCTGAAGATGAAATTAGGTTAATTCCAAGTACAAACCTGAGTGAATTAAGCTTAAGGGCGCGCTTTACCCCTGACGCGCAACCGAATGCAAGGGTTTGCAAGATTTCTCTTTTCACCTGCTACATTGAAGATAGAATCAAATTTAAGGTCTCATATTAAAGAGGATGAAATTTTCTATAGTTCTGCGTTTCTATATTTCAATTATCTTTATTACACACCTTATAAACTTGAGTTTTAGTACAAGAAAAAAGGGCCTTTTCGACTAGCCGTAACTTATTTAAAAAACGTTATTTGAAAATTTTAAAAACGCAGAACTATAGATTGGTCTTTTTACTACTATAATCCGTTTAGAGTGCGTAGCTATCATTATTGGTTAATTCGAAAAGAGTAATCTTGGAAACCTCTGCAAATTAAAAATTACCACTGTGCGGTGCCGGCGTCTAGCGGCAGCTCGGGGAAGCTCGCCGGAAATCCCCCTCTCAGCACCGCTTCTCACCACTCCAATGCTTGATCCACGTGTTTCCATCTGTCAAACCCGGCGCTACTCTACCTCTGTGTTTAAGAGTCTTCCGTAGTGGAAGCCATGTTGGATTTCTTCCCCATAAGAACAATGTTAACTTTGGGTCCAAATATCTCATCAGCAAATTGTCATATAATTATGGATAAGGAGTTAAATTTAAGGAATTGCGGTCCTCTAGAGATTGACGTTTTTTATTTCACAATTTTTAATTTTTATAATGAATAATTGATTATTAATTAGCTTAAAATTAAGCTAATTATTGAAAGGAAATGAAAATGGATTTTCGAAATTCAAAAACCTCAGTCACGAGTCTATTATGTTAAAAATACAAATTATAAATTTCAAAGCTATATCTTAACAAATAACGCCGTTACGTGTCCACAAATGATGTAATGTTTAACATTGTTCTTATGGGGAAGAAATCCAACATGGCTTCCACTACGGAAGACTCTTAACTGTGTTTGTGAAGTTTAGAGATAGTTAAAAGTGAGTTTTTAAATGCCTGGAACTTCAAGGAAAACTCGTGTCAAACGACATTTGACACTTTCCACTAAAAGGAAAAGGTCTACAGCGAAGAATCTTGATAAGTGGCGGGAAAGAAAGAGAAATATTTGGTGAGTGGTTTGTTATATTATTGTTATTATTATTGTTAATTATGTTTAGGAATCAATATAAGCCAATTAATAAGCAGATAAAATAAGTACCGTAACTGTCTTTATAGGTTTGAAGGTCATTGTCAAAATAAGGCGAACTTATGACAAATAAGGCAACAACTGTTATAAGGGTTATAGCTACCAACAGACTGTCATTGTTTTGTTTATAATCCATAGCAAAAATCTATACAATCTATATCAGCTAGTACTTTGTGCAGTGAAATATAGTAATAAACAGTGTACAAATAAATCTTAGATCTGTGTGTACCGGATAAGTAAATAACAGGGGGCCATTGTTAAAAATCAAATTATTAGTACCAGTTGTTTATACTCAATACAATAAACGCGCGGGCAATTTTTTAAATGTGTTTTAGATTACCATAAGCGGGATAACTGTATGATTAAAAAAACTAAATACTTGCCTACTTAATCAATTGATATATACTGGAAAATGTGTAACGAATATCAAAAGGTCCTTTTTAAAAACATTGTTTTTAAATTATGGAAAGTTTAATGAACCGGAATGAGCAATAAATAATCATTAAAAGGTTTAAAAAAGGTAACCTAATCATTATTTAAACTACCCATTTTTTTTTCAGCCTAGTATCTGCAAGCGAATGTCAGTCTAACGCTACTGTCTTCCATGATTTGCCAAAAACAGATGAATCAGGCATTACTTCAAAACATAACACAGTCATGTCAGAAATGAACAACAATGATGAAATAATAGAATCTACTGATACAAGGTAAGGTATTAATTCGCCCTGCCTGCCCGTTATTTAGCTTTTCATAAGGTTTATAAAGTATAGATGGTATTAAAGTATAAAAGCTCCTTCGAAAAAATGTTGGAATGCATTTTGAAGATCAACTATTTAGCTAAAACATTACCATTACTAATTAATCCTCTGCATTTAGTCGATCCTTATAAAATAACTGTTCATTGTTGCCAAACTGTGTAGGCCTACAGCTTACACAATCACTCGGAGAAATAAACCCAATTATTATTGAGTACAGTAGGTACAGACTTATCATATACCTTGTTCAGTATATATTTTTTTCAGCTTCGTACGCCTCTCCGAATGTCAGATTAGCGACAGCTTCCATCACAGTACTCCTAAAGACCATGATATAATTTCCAAAAAGGATAACGTTACTGAGGCTGAACCTACAGGAATACTAAACAATGATGATCTGCCTGATGCTGGAAGAGAGACTATTACCATAAGGTAATTAATGCATTATAAATAATATTGATGCTAGCTATTTTTTTTTACCAATCACTAACCTTATACAGTAGTATTAACTCGGTAATACATACAATTTATCTTTTTATCAATTGTACAGAGAATTAAAATATTAATGTTCTAACAGTTACTTGATAAATAATTAGAACTGACTAAAGTCAGTATAAAGTACAGTATTAGTAACTATTGTTGTTCATGTAGTTAAAACTATGTATTTAAAAATGTAAAATGTCTACCTATGTAGAATGTTTATTAAAACTACATTTGTTAATTTTAAATCGGTAAATACGTTAAATTTTATTATGTTTTTTGCAGGCGGAATGACAGTCTTGACAGTGACAGTGACGATTCAGACTGGTTAGCCGGAATTGAGCTTCTCGCTCCCAGGTATTTTCAAAACTATGTTATTTCTTAGAAACTCCCTTTAGAGAAAAATGTATTTTTATGTAAATTATTAAAGAAAGATGGGTAATACAAACCTATTTTTTATTACTGTTAATTTTTCACAGTTTAAAATGTTATACACTACTTCTGCATGCTTAATATATTTTTTGCCCTAAAAGTAATTTACAAAATTTTAATTCACATTATAAAGACAATTAACAGTTTAATAATTAACAATTAACATTTATTTTTGAAAATAGTTTCTAAAAAAGTAGCCTAAATGAAATACATCTATGTGAAGTCTGGTCGTTGACTTTAGAGTGTATGATAATTATTCGACTACAAGTTTGGAACTTGATAAATTTGTGTTTACAGAGATGAAGAAGATAACGAAGATATCGCCAAAGAAATATCCATACATGGAAGGAGGATAGTTAACATAGATCATTTTATCAAATCCCTGCAATCTCTAGAAAACCACGAGCCTTTTGACTGCAAGTTTTCAGATATGTATTTGATAAATGACAGACGCATTGGTCTGATAGATGAATTGACATTCCATTGCAAGGTTTGTCGGAGGATTGAAAAAATCACGACGGACATATTACCTAACAATGGAAATGTAATGAATGTGAATACTTCAATGGTAAGTATTAAGACTATACGCGCGATACCATTATTAATTGAAATAGTATTGTTGTATACAGCACCAGTATATACAAGGTGATATCAAAATACCCACGTTGCAGCAGACCTTCATACTAAGTGAATTTCCAATGCATAAATGTGTCTCTCACTATTACACAAAGTCACTTAAAAAAAACCCCTACTTACCACTTACAATTCTATAAATTTATCTTCTAAACAACAGTATAAAGAAAGATTATTAAGATCGGTTAATATCGTATAGATAACTGATTTATTGCAAAATGTTTCATACGATACATGCTTATTTTGACTAAATGTTTTATTATTGCCGCAAAAAAGCATGTATTCTATTAATTTTGTGACTTAAGATTGAACTATTACGAGCCAAAATTTAAAGTGCCACGTTCGATAAAAAAAGATAAAAGATGAAGGTATGACAAATATCGGCCAAGGATATAGTCAACTGGAGGAGCTGTGTTGCAGTTTAGACATGCCGTGTATGTCTACAAAAACGTATAACAAACACCAAGAGCTCTTATATACAACCATTCATGAATGCTCATGGGAGAGCATGGCTGAAGCTGCTAAAGAGGAAGCTAAATTAGCGATCGAGGAAGGCAGAGTTGATAAAGAAACGGGAACCCTAGAAATTACAGTAGTAGTCGATGGTGCCTGGAGTAAAAGGTCATACAAAACCAACTACAATGCTCTCTCCGGAGTGGTAAGTACATACGTGTAAGAAATGTCCTATGTTGATGAGGGAAATGGTCTTTACCTTTTTTATCATTTAAAATTACTGAAAACATTAGGTTTGTTTTTAATAATAGGTTTGGCTGAAAAAATACTATGTTAGTTTTGAAGTTATTGTTCTATGTCCAACCATTGCAGGGATATTAAAATTGCTAAACACCAAATTGCTAAAATTGCCATTCATAAATCGAAAATAAGTGAAGATATAAACCTAAATAACTGGAACTTGGTATGAAGCTTTATTCACTTTATTGAATCATATTGATGATTGCATAAAACACACTAATTATGCTTGTAAAAAAATGTACTATCATCCTTTGAACGACCATTCTTATTGCGTCACATTTCATTTTCAAGGCTTGCATCATGGGGTATAAGACCAAGAAGGTTCTCTTTGTCGGGGTTCGCAACTCTTATTGTTCTATCTGTGCACGGGCTGAGTAAAAACAAATCCAACCAGCTGAACATGTGTGCTATAAGAATTGGACCAAGTCATCGACGGCAATGGAGGCTGACATAATAGTGGAAGGGTTTAAAAAAAGTATCGAGATGTACAACTTGAAGTACGTGAATGTAAGGTGAGTATTTTTTCGTAGGTTTGTCTATAGTTTACTTGCAGATAGGGTTTCTTAAAATATCGAAAATGCAGGCAAAAATTACCATAACTTTTTTTTTAGCTACATCAATCAAATTTCAGATTTGTCTGTACATTTCTTACAACTATGAACGTTTTCGATAATTTTACCCAAAATATGAATAAATATGGAAAAAAATTACATTTCATAGAATATGAAAACAGAGATAAGTCTTATCTCAATTTCTATCGGTCTGTCTGTTAATTGGTCTATTGTTTCATTTATATGTACGTCCACACACACACATAAGGTAAGGGAATTTTAGATCATTTTTCATAGATAAATGATCAAAACACCCAAATCCATTTATTTTATTTTAATTTTGTTACAGGTGAAGTGTCCAGCGTCTGCTAAAAACCTAACACCAGCAGAGGCAGTGCGTCAGAAAGTGATAAAATTTTGTTATCTCAATGACGAAGGAGAGCTGAGATTGAAAACACACCATTGCTACCATTACCAAGTGCAAGGGCAGCTTCATATAACCGGGAAGAAATACTGTTTGTTTGTAGTTTGGACACCTCATGGTTTGTCAGTGGAGAAGATCATGAGAGACGATGAGTTCTGGAGGAAGAATATGGAAAATCCACTAACTGACTTCTATTTCAAATGCATTCTGCCAGAACTTATTGATCCCAGATACCCAAGAGGGCTACCCATCAGAGATAGGATATAAATTCTATTAGGGTCTATATCCGAGATTTAATTAATCAAATCATCAAAATCTATAATCCATAATCAACTCAATCATCAAATCCTTATTAATAAATATATTTTCAAATAATTTTATAATCCTACCGAGTTTTTAAATAGTTGCCATGTAATCCAGGATGTGGACTAGGGTCCTGTTGGAAAATAAAATAATATTAGGTACCCTTTATGTATTTGTTGTGTATACTTTGCATATAGTGAAGGACAAATTATAATGTGTATTTGTACGTCATGTACACAAATTTCCTTTTTTTACTGCCAATGTCCATAATTTTAAGATGTCTAATGGTGTAGAAAAAAAGTAATAATTTTGAATAACAAACATAGCTTACTTCGCTACATTCTACCATAGATGAAACAAACTTGTTGCTTAGTCTATGATTATACTGTACGCGACATCGGAGCGCTTACACCCAGTAGTAGCCTAGTTTGAGTTGTGTGGTTGTGTTGATGCGACGAGGCAAGGCTACCGAAAAGCGCTGGTCTACCAGGACTAACCAACAAGGGCTAGCCCACGGAGCAGAGAAAAGTGACTCCAGCCCCTCCCCCCCCCCGTGACGTCATGAGAAGGAACGATGCCACACGCCGCCAGCACGCAGCGCCTGGTATTGCGTTTGCGTTGCAAATACACTGTCCTGCAGCTCTCTACGTTAATGGAATTAGAATCAAACTTATATATTTCTATTCTGCATGAATTGACGATTCCAACGGTGCAAATATATTTTGGTTTAATAATGTCTGTGATTTGTAATAACAAGAAATACTTACCTAGTTTTAAACGTGTGACATGAAAATGTAAGTAAGCGTAAACTTTTTTTATTTTTGAGGTAGAGACAAACTTTCAGCGAGAAAGTTGTAGATAATTAAATTATCTACAACTTTTATTGCAAACATTTTTTTATAAAACTGCTGGTTCGATCAGTAATGCAATGAAAACACAAAACTTCATTTAACTGCTGTCCCGGGGCGACGCACGGCCGGCCGTACCGCGTTTTGCCGCATATTGTTTTGCGACAACAATTGACTTAACATATTATTATAAATATTTTTAATAGATATAACTTAATAAATGTTTTTCTAAAATACATTTAAGATTTACAGTAATAAAATAGATCAAATCTAACTAGTATAATGCCTACAACGGAAAGTGTATTGTAATACTGTAAAATCCTTCAGTTGTATTACAATTTCATAATGTGATTTAAATTCATAACATACGGTTATATGTAATAAGTAACAGTATATTCCAAAAGGGTACATTGCTATATTCATTTACTTATAATATTATTTTAGTTTAATGATATTTTCTCAGTATACATTAGATAGCTCATGAAGAATAATAGTCCAGTAAATCTGTCAGAAAATATGGGGTTGCTGTGCAAAAGGTCGGGTAGTTCTGATTTTTGGATATGTTGTTAGTATTGGGACCATAGCATAAAATCCAAGTTATCCACCTCGAGATACTGCCGCTCGCCGCGGGGCGCGCCACTTGTTATCGAAATATTTAAAATATGGCAATTCTTATTGTTTTTCACTTAATCTCTCGAACCGTTGATTTTACCGAAACTTTTATATTATTACATTAAAGAAGAATAAATTTGTGACAGTTTAAGCCCAACAGCAAGTATGTAGCGTAAATAATGGTCAAAATACAGACCATCAAAATAAATAAATTTTCCAAAGACGTATAGAAATTGTGTTTTTTTCCATATTTCCACAATATAGTTGTTTGAAGCAAACACCGTATTGATTTAGAGAGTATAGCAGTTTATTTGCTATTAATAGAAAATAAATGAAAGTATGAATAAAAATAACCCCACCTCAGCAAACCTGCAGACTAAGCTAATTTCTATTTGCTTGATTTGATCTTCACAAACCTATTTAAATAACATTAGGTTTAACTGGTACCTAGGTTTGCTGCTACAGGGAGGGTAATATAGTATATAAAATAATAATAGTATGATAAGAAACAAATAAATTTACCCAATTTTATAAAAATGTGTCTATAAATAAGGAAAAAACAATAATTAAATCTTCGCTATTGGAATAACTTGAGGTTTTTTAATTTACATTTTTTTAATTTTCTCCATAACCAATAAATGATTTGTTTTTAAGCTCTACGAAATTCTTTAATGATACAATTGTAAAATTGTATGTTTTGAGGGTTAAAAATTACAAAAAATATTCTTACTGGCAAAATACCTATAAGGCAACCGTTCCTATGGCCTTATCATGCCGATCATGCTTTGCGAACTCGTTTTAATTAATAAATGTACGTTATACATGACGTGATCTCTTGATTCACTAATAAAAGTAATGTTTGTACCTAATTTCACTAAATCGGATGATTTTTGGGAATCATCGTGCTAACGAACGATAATAACTTTTTTGGATACAGTTTATGAAAATCTTTAGTTTTTTTTTATACAGGGTCTCCTAAAAACTCACCTAGTTTGAACATTTATTTATTTATTGTACTAGATACAAACTACTGTTCAACGACTGATACCATAGAGAAGGCTATGCTGATACATTAAATGAAAGATAATAAAATAAAAGTTATTTTAAGACTATCACACCTCATTATGCGACCCATTTTTAGCTCTGCAGACATGCAAGCTATTTTTACTCATTTTTATCATTAATATTTTATTATTTGTATTATAATTTATTACCAAAACTATGTTCAAGGTAAAATAGGTGTACGCTACTTATTGCCAACGTACGAAACTAAAAATTTAAAGTATACTCTACACAGCACGAAATGATTATTACTCATCCATTTAAACAATAGTATCGTGAGGTATGTTTAAAACTATAGTCTTTTTCGGACACCCGGTATAGGCCTATATACATATATATATTTATATATGTTATAACAATTTGAACCAACAGTATTTTTGGCCTCTAGGAATACCAAAATGAAAAAATAAATCGGTCCCGGGTCTAGGTCTTACAATGTAATAGCGTATTCCCTATAAGGGAAATTCGCTAATAATCAGCATATCATTTTTATTGAATGGTGTGTGTTGAGGAAACCACTATTTAATCTTTTCATCAATTTCGTTGTCTCGAGCAATGCGAGAATGGTGCACGTCAACATGTTGCTCACTGTTAATGTTCAACTGACGTCATGTTTTATAATATTTCTCAACTCCTACAGATTTGATGAGGACGGCTCATCCCAAGCGCCCATCAAGTTACAACATTTTGTCTGTTATCCCTCGTCCTCGAGTCAATCCTTCATTGTCTTTATGAGGGCCTGTTCGATAGGCTAATCAGATCAAATTCCACACCAGAACTTGTCTGCACGTCTTGTAGTAAAATTTCCGATCTTTGTGAATTTTGTGTGTTCTTCAATATCAATCTTGTATTTCAATTCATATTCAGCATGTCCTGTATAGATGGGCGCACTTGGCGTGGAAAGATTACCCGCTGCATGGAAGATCTGTAGAGTGATTGTAATTGGAAGATCTTATTCGCCTGATCTTTCAGCCTTAATAAACTGTTAACTATGTTAAACTGTTTTATTTTGTTTTTATGTGAAAGTATTGTACCCAAAGCTTAGTTAAACGTTTATGTATAAACATTTGACAGCTTTGGGAAGAGTAGTTTTGCCGTTGAAGGTATATTTTGAAGGTCAGTTTTTCAGCATGTAAACCTACATTTATTAAAACGAGTTCGCGAAGTATTATCAGGCCATGGGAACGGTTGCTTTATAGGGTTTTTTGTTAAGAACGGGGTTTTCGTATTTTAGACCCTCAAAACATACAATTTTACAATGTATCTCTAAACCATTTTGTAGAGCTTAAAAACAAATCATTTAGTACATTAAAATGTTTTTTTACAGTTATAGGTTATCGAGAAAATTAAAAAATTGTAAATTAAAAAACCTCAAGTTATTCCAATAGCGAAGATTTAATTATTGTTTTTTCCTTATTTATAGACACATTTTTATAAAATTGGGTAAATTTATTTGTTTCTTATCATACTATTATTATTTTATATACTATATTACCCTCCCTGTAGCAGCAAACCTAGGTACCAGTTAAACCTAATGTTATTTAAATAGGTTTGTGAAGATCAAATCAAGCAAATGGAAATTCGCTTAGTCTGCAGGTTTGCTGAGGTGGGGGTATTTTTATTCATACTTTCATTTATTTTCTATTAATAGCAAATAAACTGGCATACTCTCTAAATCAATACGGTGTTTGCTTCAAACAACTATATTCTGGAAATATTGAAAAAACTACATTTTTTATACGTCTTTGGAAAATTTATTTATTTTGATGGTCTGTATTTTGACCATTATTTACGCTACATACTTTCTGTTGGGCTTAAACTGTCACAAATTTATTCTTCTTTAATGTAATAATATAAAAGTTTCGGTAAAATCAACGGTTCGAGAGATTAAGTGAAAAACAATAAGAATTGCCATATTTTAAATATTTCGATAACAAGTGGCGCGCCCCGCGGCGAGCGGCAGTATCTCGAGGTGGATAACTTGGATTTTATGTTATGGTCCCAATACTAACAACATATCCAAAAATCAGAACTACCCGACCTTTTGCATACCAAAATGTCTAATTTTACTGGACTATAACAACTTTTGTCCTCATGTATTAAACACCGACAAATAGGATACATAATATTCTAAGGCAAACATGGCTGAAAAATAAAAACATTGGCATTGGTGCTGTGAATATTTTTAATTTACATAAATGTAATAAAATACGGTAAACAACTTACAAAATAATTACTTTGGTGTTTTGTTCCCTGATTGTACCCATTTTGACATTTTTTGTGTACTTTTTCTATTGTCTACTACTTTATTCAGTCTATTCAGATGCCTAATCCTAATTATAGTCCTTAATTTAGCATAGAGTTTAATTGCCATCGGGCAGACACTGGGATACTTTTCTTTTAATACTTGTTCGAATCTTGCCACTACTTTTCTTTCCCTGT